CATCCATCCATCCATCGTGATGGGGTGTTAGTATACATATACAATTACCTGAGAGAAAGATCTGAAAAACAGTTGAGTGTGATGCAGCCCTGAAACAGAGGTGTCAGCAGGATTCTGGCTTAGACTGTGATGATAGGCCTGAGGAAAAAGTTTAATGAAAAATATGAATGGTAAGAATTAAAGTGCAAATCTCTATACGTTTAGCATGCCTCCTTACCTGCAGCGCCACCTGCAGTGCAGAGTACTGCAACCACAACTCTTGCTGCTGCCCTTCGGAGAGCACTGAGGCCTCAACCTGCCCTGAATTTTCAGATGCATTGAGGTAATGAGCCCATACACATTCCCCCACGGCATACATAGTCTCATTGTGAGAGAAAACTACAACAGACACAAACATGAGAGTTTGATGAGGACAGAAAGGATTCAATAATAAACTACACTAGATAGTGAACAAAATAATTTTTCTCTGTAAATATGTTTCTTTTGGGAGTTCCAAGATCAGCTATTTTAATTCTTATCTACTGACCACATACATTTTTTTTTTACTTTACAATGTGTTGCATAAAATACACGCCAGTGTTTAAAAATGTTCTGTAATTTAACATTACTAACCTATTTGGTGTAAAACAAACTAATAGCACTGATTTTAGACATATTTAGAAACATTTAAGGGAACAACACTATTATTTAGTTTAATTCGCAGACAGTCATAGAGAGATCTGGACCTAGCATCTGCAGTTTTTCTATTAAAAAAACACAACCTTACTGACAGTTGCATCTAATGAACTCACTGTACAACATGCCCAAGGAGAAAAGACACCAAAAACATCTCACTAACAGGGACATTTTGGAGTCAGGAACGTCATGGTGTGGGCCAGGTGTTCTTAGCATATGGTGCTGGGAAACTTTATGACAATACTGGAAGGAAAATTATTCATCTTCAGAGACTTAAAGGTATAGTGGAGGATTTCTTGCAAAGTTTTGAAAAGACCCGCCCTCTCCATTTTAAAGAATACTGCATATGCACAACCCTGTACCTGCTCCCAAGAGGGAACGCCTATTAAATGTGTGCGATAGCATGCAGGAGCCTATTTCTCCTCGTGCACGCTTTTTTAAAAGTTGCTGTCTGTATCGCTCATACAAGCTTACCTTCCAAAAGAAGATTTGCAATTTTTCCTCTATGTCAGACTCACCGACGGTAAGTGAAAATGGGAACAAGCACGTAGGACGGCCTTATGTAAACATATCACCAGAATGATTGACAATTAGGAGGAACACTTATTTTGATGATCCACTTGGAAAAAGAACATCCTCCACTATACCTTTAATGAGAATCTAAATAAGATCTGAAGATTGGATTTTTATACAAAATTATGATCCAAAAAGTTAAGTAGATTCTCTACTACTTTCAGAAATAAATAAAAACAAAGCTTCTCGAAAGGCTCAAACAATCACCTGACTGCAATCCTTTGAATAATTTAGAGAAATAACTGAAGATAACAGTATAGGTCTGTGTTAAAGAGTGGATCAAATCTCAGCAACAGATATGATTAGTTTCTTCATCCATTGCCAGCGAATTATTTAAAAAAAATGCCAAGATGCCAAAAACAGAAGTCAACTTTTCTTACTCTCACGCACAAACAGGTGAAAGATATCTTTGGCAACAAGGAAACCCACTGCTCCATAACTCATGGCCCTGTTCACAAGAAAAGAAATGAGTCGTTGTGCTAAAATGAAATATTCAGAAATAGTTTGATTTGATTACATCTTACTTTGGATAGGTGGGGTGGAAAAGAGGGGGCACAAACATTCCCATCGGGAAGACAACCCCATCACTTACAAGGGCAGGTGTGACAGAGAGACTGAAGGGAATGTCGGAGGATTATTGCACCTTTAATTAGGATTATATCAGAATTCATCAGCTTGATATCACCAAGGAGAAACAAACCTATAGGCAGCATCGGTCTGCTCAGCCAAGAGTTTACTGCGTCTCTTCTGCCATAGAGATAGTAGCTGAAGGTAGTTGGAGAAGAAGCCATTGGAGCTGATGGTCACCTGAAATCACATAAATTGTCATGTCATAAAATATTTTCTGCTGGGAAAAGTATTTTCTTGCATTATCATAATTCTACAACGAAGCAATAGCTCGTCAGATTTTTCTACATTTTTTTTTATTTACTCAGTCTCTGATCATTTTCAAAGGAATTTTCTCTGTTTGTTTGTATTTATCTTTATTAGAATTGATTACTTCAACAGTGTCTTCATAGCTTTGCCTAAAAAACTCCATCAGACAGATGCAGCTGATCCAAAGCGCCGCTGCCTGTGTTCTCACTAGAAGTAATAAAAGAAGAACATCAGCCTGGTTCTGAAGTCTTTACACTGTAGCTCAGAGAATAGGCTTTCAAAGCCTTCTGTTAGCCTATAAATCACTGAATGGATCAGCACCTCAATGCATGTCAGATTTAATGTCAGTGTATCAACCTCCCAGACCACTCAGGTCTTCTAGTTCCAGCTTCTCTGTCCAACCAGAACTAGAACAAACATGGAGAAGCAGCATTTAGTTCCAATGCTCCACTGATCTGGAACAAACTTCCAGAAGACCAGAAAAGTGATGAAAGACTGAGTTATTTTAAGTCTAAGTTAAAAAAAAAAAAAAATATATATATATATATATATGTATGTATATTTAGAACTGCCTTTGACTGTTGAAGTTAAACTGTTAACTGAGGTATTATTAGTTTAAGGTTGTGGTCCAACTGTTTTATTGTTTTACTACCTGCTTTTATCTTGTTTTAAGCTTTGCTCTCTTTCCATCAGCTTTTTATTTTCGTTCCATTTTACTTTACTTCAATTAATGTAAATCACTTTGAATTGTGCTATATAAATAAACTAACCTTGCCTTATCTGAACCTTTGAATAATTTATATAACCAAGGGATACTCTTCCAAGCCTTGTATTGAGATGGAGGGCTTCTGCTGTCATTTAGACTTCCCTTTCAGATACTGATCGGGTTATAATTTTCAGACCCGACTCCTTTTTTGTTTAAACTTTTTCACTTTCTTGATTTTTTTTTTCAAACCTGCCATGGCCATTCCCTTTGACTCTGACCACTAAAGAAAATCATGCCCACGACATGAAGTTCTTCAAAAACCATGGCATTCTGCATATGGGGCATTAAGGTCACTTTGCATTAAAGTCACTTTTGGTCTCATCCTCATCTGACCAGAAACAAATTTAGACTGGAGCAGAACAATATAAGGAAAAACATGTAACATACGATGATAATAGTGAACTGCAGTTTAACAAAATGTGAAAACGTTCAAAGAGTTTAGAAATATTTGCAATGCACCTTGTAGGAATAGAGGCCAAAGGCCTTAAGGGAAGCAGGAAAATTACCTGACAAGATTAATTCATTCATAAGAAGAGTTGTTGGTTACTTAAAAAAAAAAAAAAAATCATTGTTTTAAAAACATTCTTTTACCTCAGAAAATAATAGGTCAAGATCACCCTTATCAGAAATCTGGGAGGACCATAGTCTTGGAGGTGAAGAGTAAACCTAGAGAAAGAAAAGTCCTCTCATAATGGTCACCATAAACAAAATACAGCCTCATACAGATACAAATGTTTTTGTTTTTTTATATTACTGCTTTACCTTGTCAATAAAATGCTGAAAAGGCTTGTGATCTTTCCACTTGAGCTCCATTATTTTGGATATGAAGGAAAAAAATACATTTTCAATAATCTCTTCAGTCTGTTATTGGGGGAAAATAAACTATATCAGATGCAGTTTTGAAACTTTTAATAAAGTCAGTATGTGAGACTATAATTTCACCTTCTGGCGTGCCATCCTCTCACTGAGAAGATGTGTGAGAACTGTATCGAATCCTGTTTCGGTCTCCAGTAAACAGTGTTTCCAGCGAGGGACCTCCTGGTGAAAAACACCCAACCCAAGATTGAGAAATCCTTTCAAACTTCCATTTTTTTTTTTTTTTTACTCAAACCGTACTGACTGACCTCTTCAACGTTCCCTAATGCTAACGACATATTCTTTGCTGTTTCAGAAAATCTAGAATCCATGGCGGGCATCAGAGTGTGCAGCAGATTCAGAAACATATATGTTTCAAGAAAACTGCTTTGTTCAACAAGATGACATAAAAAGATGAATCAAAAAAAGTATACTGAGATGTTAAAACCATTTTCCAACAACTTAATATTACCTGCTGCTGATAAAAGGCTTTTGCAACCATCTGTTGATGATTTTGGACATTTGAATAATGTAGGGTAGGTTATGAAGAAGGACTTGATCATCTTCACTTAGGGAGAGTGGATGGAAGGCAGCCTGCAGACAGCCCAGCCAGTCAATTGCAGGAGCCTGACTCTGTGGGGGAAAAGTTATTTTATAAATCATGCTTATGGAAAAAAAAAACATTGCAAGATGCTAAGCAGCCACAATTATCATTGGTAATAGTTGTTGGAATTATTTTTATTGATGTGTGAGCCTTTTAAACCAAAACATTACTACCTGTTACATGTCGACCTCAATGACTCCCCATTTCTAAATGGTGGACCTGTATTTTTGCTTCAATTT